TGGCTGATTGACGGTTGTTATTGTTGTCAGAAAAAATTGGCCTTAAGGAATCTAAATTTGATGATTGGAATTCATGTCATGTCATATAATAATATACAACCACATATATTCAAGCGTGGGCAGGCTTATTCATTTCTTAGATTATTATAAAGAATAAACAAAACGAAAAACATTGATTGCCCTCTCTCTCTCCCTCTCTTCCTCTGAATGCAGGATTGTTTTTCAACATTGATGCAAGTAGGCGTTTTGATTTGATTTTCTTTTTCTGTTTTTTTTTCGCTGAAATATTTGTGACCACCCGGTTTTAACGATAAATATAAATTATATTAATTGAGACAAATTGTGAAACATGGACATTGATGGTGGATGGAACATAAACACACAGACAAACACACACACACACACACACACACACCCGAATCCGGACAAATAAAACTCATAAATTACTGATGATTCAATTATATTCCGTTTTCAATTTATATTTTGTCGTTCATCATCATCGTCATCATTCCAAAATTCATACATAATCTATACCTATGTTGTACAATAATAATAATATATGCCAGTCATAATAATCATAAATCAAATGTCAAATGTCAGTGGTTTACATTTTTTTTTTTTTTGTATCAAAAAATCTATCAAATCTAAATTTTTGAAATGTTTACATCTACAAGAGAATTGTTTTTTTTTCATGATGATGATGATGATGGCTATGAAAGAAAAAATCACACACACACAAAGACAAATCAACCAAATTCGGTTTTATATAACATAACATAACATGATAATTTAATTGTGAAAAGTTATACCGGATATTGGAGGTTGTGCATCTGTGTATGTGAGAGAAAGAGAGAGCAAGAGGGCAATAAATGAGATGACCTACAGGTCAATTTACACAATTGTTTTAGATAGGTATTGATTCAGAGATGAATTGTATTTTTTTCTGTTTGTTTGTTTTGTTATCGGTTTGATTTTGGAATTGTAACCGGGTATAAAAGTGCATGCAATTGTCATTATATTTCAAACGAGCAATCATTCATTCATTCATTTGTGCCATAATTGCCTCTTAGAACATTTTGTATCCTTTTATTTCATCGTTTCAACAAGCAGAAAAAACATCAACATCAAACAAACAAACAAATAGATGAATGAATACAGATAACAAGGAAAAAAATCTTGAGTAGAATCATAATGACGACAATGATGATGATGGAAATCCTTGAAAAAAAACTGTTTACCAACAACCAAGGATTCTGTGATTCGTATGTTTAAGTGTTAGTGTACTTGTTTTGATTTCTTTTACATTATATATTCCCGGCAGACACCATGAACGACAATCCGTACCGGTGGAATCGATCCACCCTGGTAGTGCGAAAAGGCTGAAAGTCTGAAAATCTTTCTGATAAACATCTTTTTTGGTTCTGAAAATGTCTGAGAACGTCAGAAATTTTCTGAATCTGAAAATTGACAAAATAATTCTTAATCTCCTTATTATGGCTTAAAAAATCTGAACACACTTTGTATACAATTAATTATAATTATTTTTTTTATTAATTATAATGTTGCAAATTATCTTGAGACTAAATTAAATATATCATATTTGATCATATTTAATATATAATATATCATATATATATTTGGTTGTGTATTCAATTAGTGAATTAAAATTTATTGATATTGATTGATTATTTACAAAACAAAAACCGAATACTGAAACAAAACATTATTATTTATGTGTTTAATAATTACAAATGTTTGTTGAAAATGTCAAATAAATAGTTGACGCCATTTACATTTGCATATGTTGCAAGCTCGTAAAAATCAGAACACTTTAATTTAACGGTCATCGTAGAAATCTTTGAAAATGTTTTGATGTATGAAAAATGCAAATTTTCTAATTTTCTTTCTGTTGTTCTCAGCAGTAATTTTTGGCAATTTAAAAGTTCATTACAAATCAAATAAGTTTCATTTCTATCGTTTTTGATGATTTTTTCCACGATATAATATTTTCCAATTTCTGTTTTGATGCAATGATTATTTGTCGATTTTGCTGCGGTTTGGTTGTAATTTCGTGTACAAACAATTTTTTCTTTGATACGTATTCGTTTTTGAGATTGAAATGTGCCTTGGCCAAGTAATTTATTTTCTGCACCGATTGGTTTATACACTTCCTGGAAAACTTTGATGGGTGTGTTGTTTGGACACAGTTTCGGCATATAATTGTAGAGAGATTTTAGAAACATTTCTGACATGTGAGATGTATTGTTTCGGCAAGACGAAATGATGGATTGGTAGGTCAGAAATTTTTTCATAACTTGTTGAGTTACGTTTGTCCCAGTCTTGACGCGTTTTGCAATGAGCCCCATTGTGTTCTCGGTAAAATATGCGGTCTGAACCGGAAGGGGCCCATAATTTTTTACCATGTCCAGAAAGTGAGCGAGAAAATGGACGTTGATTTTCCACATGAATCTTTCCTTGCTTGAATATACTTGGTCGAATGATGTGAAAAATTTTGCAATTTCAGAATCAACATGGCGTAAATCCGTCATTTTGATATCATACGTGATGATAATTTTGACAGAATAAATGCCAATTGTTTGAAATTTTCGCATCTTCCTCTTTCAACAATTCCTTCAAAACATATGAAACCATAAAATAGAAGAAGTTCATAGTCCATACTTTTTAAATTTCGTTTTTGCGACAATTGAGGCATCGCTTTCAGAACACCTTCAGGAAATTTAATTGATGAAAGTCGTTCATCCACAATGCTCAATTGTGTTTTGTTTAATTTTGTTGTTTTCAATTCATTTTTTTTTTGGTAATACTTGATACCATCTTTTCGTAGCCAAATCATCATCTAACCATCTATTGATGATACTCTTCACCGTACCCAAATATTGGGAATGCATTGCTTCCGGTGGACATATTATCGACATGTCAACGTAGGATAATTTCATAAGCTGGCAATTTCCTTTGATGCCCATAGTTGACTTTCCACGATTATTACTGGCAATGCTCCGCCAGCTTATATTTGTCCGAAGTTTGAAGTCAAATGATAAAGAATTGTCGTATTTTCTATTTGGTATATACAACATTGACTTGAAATCATTGTCATACGTGCCTTTAATCTCACAGCATTGGCATCCGTAATAACCATTGAATTGTGTGCTGTTTAAAAGAACGGCTCGTGCTGGTGCATCTGCAATTGCTAGAAGAAGTTTAACAAAAACTTTTTTTTTCATTACCATCAACATCGATAATTATTGGATCGGTGGACAATGAGACGAGTTCATCAACAAGTGGCTTTATAACGATATCAGAGGATGGCTTACAACTACCAGAATGAAGTGCAATAAGCATAGGATTGTTTATACGTTCTTGAAAAGGAAGTTCATTTAAATAGGCGCAAAGTGGCCACATACTTTGAGAGCCATCGTTTGTGTAAGCTACACCGTCCCAAGTCAATGTCAAAGTTAGGGTAGGAATTGAACATGATGATGATGATGTTACGAGTTGGCGATATCGTTCTGAATTGGATAAATCGTGGAAAAATTTACTTTCTTTCGGGCGTGTAATTCTCAATTTTGAATAATACAATGGAATTTGATGATGAAGCCACTTGGAGAGGGATGTAACAAAAATGATGAAGAATCGCTTTTCATTTTTTGTGATGGAATAATTCGACAAGATTCATGACTGTAGCAACAAGTTGTTGGAATATTTAATTCGTTAACTGGCCCAATGATATCTCCACATTGCGAATAAAAATATTTATAAATTGTAGGCGTAAACGAATTTGGGACTTTTGTAATTATGGTGTCCCAGTCCGAACACGATACAATAGGTTCGCCACCAGTAGTGCAACAATGACGATATGCCATGTTGTTTAGAGATTTAGAAAAGATTTCAATCTCTTTGTTTGTGGTATTGAATCTTGCCTGATGCAACAGAATTATCATAATACGTTCCATTTCATTCATTTCGATTCTCCGAGAAAAATTTTCAAATTCAATGGTTGATTCTTGATGTACGATTTCATCATCACCATCATCGCTATCAGATGCATATTTTTGAAGGTCATCATCATCATATATAATTCCAGGTTCAACGTGATATTTATTAATTATAGTTTCAGCAGAACTCCCAGCAGGAGATTCTGAATCCGAGACTTGTGCATTGCGATTCAAAACTTTATTGACAAAAGTTGAAAATTTTTCATTTCGTCTTTGAACTTTTTTCAAAAAAGATTCACTATGATAACTTTGGGAAAAGGATGGCATTTGTTGATCAGCCATTTCGTGTTGTTTTTCCGATTCATCAGATCGCTTCATGGTGATAAACGTGATAATTAAACAAAAATCAATCAAACAACAACAATCTCGAAACTCGAAGGAAGAGAAAAAAACAGGCAAGTGCAAAAAAATTGTCAATATAAAAATTGTCGATACTTGTTGAGTATTACGCTTTTGTGAAAGCGAAAAAATAACTGCAAAAAAATGATTTTGGTGTGCGCGTACTCATGTCAAAGCCCCAAACATACATGAGTGTGAAAAAATGTGTATGTTTGTGCTTCGCGAAGACTAAATTTTTTCACACTACTGTCCAATGTGCGGAGGGTGTATGTTCAAAAAATGCTTCTTCTTATCAGTTATGAGCTGCACCGAATTCGATTTTTTTCTTTTTATTTTCGTGTAACATTGCGGTTTTTCTGCCATTGTTTCGCCGTTGTTTGAATGGATTACTTCGTCATCATTTGAAAAAAGTATTTCGTCATCATTTGAAAAAATAATTTTGTCATTATTTGAAAAGATTTGTGTGGTCGAATATGGTTTCCATAATTAATTTTTGCAATTCAAGCGAGGAATATTCATCATTTATTAATTATATGCAGGGTGAGTATTCGGTTTTTGCTTTTGAGAATGTTTTGTTTTTTACCTCATGTTCTTTTTCAGAAAATCAAATTAATACAGTAGATGAATTCAAAGATCATCTACAATACAATGTATTGTCGTTTTTTGCGAGCATTCACTAATCTTAATTTTGGAAAACTTGAAACGGACCTTGCAGTTTTTGAAGAAAATGAAAATAAAAAGAATGAACGAAAAATTGATGAAGACGATGAAATTATTAATAATATTATTGATGATGAAGATTGCCAATGTGAAAATTTATGTTGTGCAAAATTAAGACAAAAATTGAATCATTTGTCCGAAAAAGTTGATACGATGGAAATATGGATAAAAAATGAAATGAAAAAAATCGACAATCCATTAGTAATCAATAATTCTATGAAAAATGGAGATTTTTTATTGGAAGATAAATGGCTAGTCAAAGGCGAATTTTTACATATCGCCGCTAGAGATAGTGGCAATAGCGACCTGGCTAACCTTTTAGATTCGGTTTTTGGAAGAAAAATCTTACAAAAATACAAGTCGATTAAAGATCTTCCAAACGAGCTTAAAAAAGCGATCGATTTATTAATTGGTAAGTCACTTCAATAAACTTTCTTCAACCAATATCATCGCAACATTTAGAGCATTATTCAAGGGCAAAAGTCGTTGAAAAAGGAGGAGAGTACAATAAAATAAAAAATAATGCTAAACAACGAATAAACAAACGTTTTGACAATTGGAATCGGTACCAGTTGAAAAAAAGTAAGTCTTTTATATACATTATTATGTGATCGTACTTATATTTCATTTTGATTTTTTTACAAAACAGAATTGTCAGTCAAATCACCATCCACATCAAATGATGATTAATTAAATGTTGCAATATCATCATTTTTCGCTTATTTTTTTATTTTTTCCAGTCATTTTTTTAAATTTGTAATAACCTATGTTTATATCTATGTTAATAATTAATTTTTGTTAATTTATTATCCTAATACAAATTAAAATATATATAATAAATAATATATAAAAAAAATTTCAGAAATCAAAATGAGTGAAATGAAAGAAAATTCCCGGGAAATCTATTGCCTACAGTGGTGTCTGAATGTTGTCAGACTTAGCTAAATTCAGCATCAAAAAAGTACCATAAACGACCCAGAATTCTGACGTCTGAAAGAAGTCTTTCAGACGTTTTCGCACTACCACTAGTGGTGTCTGAATGTTGTCAGACTTAGCTAACTTCAGCATTGAAAAATCACCATAAACGACCCAGAATTCTGACGTCTGAAAGAAGTCTTTCAGACGTTTTCGCACTACCAGGGCAGAGCAAAAAAAAAATTAAAGCTCAAAAGCAAATAACATTATACAGATCACACACACACACAAAAGATTACACATTATTCTCATCAAGAAACAATAACAATGGAAAAATAAATGGAAAACTAACAAAGAGAAAAAAAATTAATTTAATATAAAAGCTTCGATCACATCATTATCATCACCAGCCAGGGCAAATGTCGAATTGTTTGTTTGGATGTGTCAAAATTCTACCCAGGCCGAGCCGTGCCATTGTGCAGGATGTGCGCCGCACAAGGGCGCCTAGACATTAGGGGCGCTTTTTTCGTAAAAAATAAAAATTGGCCAATGAGCCATCGAGGCAGTGATATGAGAAAATAAGAGAAAATAAAGAGTCTAGGGCGCCAAAATTGAAAAATATTGGCTCTAAATCTAATTTTACATCAGAAGCGAAAACGAGCAGCTGTTTTGCATTTTTCTTGGAAATTTTCTTTTACTGCTTTTTGTTTTCCGTAAATTTCTTTTTTTGGATTTTAAAACAACTGTCACTAATCGGAATGGGCGCCCTTTTGATGACCAAAGTTTCTATTCAGATTTTCATTCAATCACCATAACCGAATCGAAGCTTGTTTAATTTATCATTAATGTGAAAGTTTTTCAATCAACGCCGATGCAGCATCAGCTAAAATCAATAATGTTTACATGTTTATACATCCAATTCCAATGTATGCATGTAATAAATTGCGATGATCTCGACACATCATCGTAATAATATCAAACCATATGGATAAAAAGTTCGCAGCTATGATTTCTGAACTGGTCGTGTTAGTTTGGAAATTTGTCATTTTCTCGATTCTGAACAGGTCGTGTTAGTTTGGGAATTTGTCATTTTTTCGATTCTGAACAGGTCGTGTTAGTTTGGAAATTTGTCATTTTCTTTATTTTGAATTCTGGGTGTTTTAAATACAAAAAGCAAAAACAACAGAATTGATCAACAGATGACCAAGAGTTATCACTTTGTCCTTCCTTAGAATTAAATAAATTTATAGTCGACCTTGGACAAAATATCGTATGACACTCATCGCTTTTTCTTGTTCTATCTTAATCATAATGGATATGAACTCAAAAGCTCAAACAATGTAACCATTTTATTTATAATTGACATATAAAAATACAATTTAATTTATAAAGGATTCTTTTTCATTTGTCTTTCTTTTTTTGGTCATTAGACCGTTTGATATTTTTATATTTGTTCCAAAAAAATTTCTGAAAAAATACATAAAATACAAATTCCATTTTTTTGCATCACAATTTAGTTCATTATATTTTTTGGGTAAAATTGGGTAATTGGCGTCTATTTTAATTAAAATGATGAGCATCGTATTTTTAGGAATGCTTGTCATATACAAGCAGTCGTTACTTGTTCCGCAAATATGTTTAACGATTGATCTGATGATAGAAAGAATAATTGAATTCAATATCTTAAAGCTGGCAATCGAATTCGGATTCAGCAAAAATACGTTTAAGTCATCATCAAATACCGGGAATTCATAATTATCCGGCACAAATGTGCCATTTGAATTTATAAGATTTCCTTCGTAATACTAAAATAAAATAAAATTCAACATTATTATTAACATAAATGTCTGAACGAAAATATCATATTCAACTTACAGAAAAATGAAATGTGAAATCTTTTTTCCATCGCATTGAAGACCTTTTTGAATTGGAATAGTTGGATCGTTTTGTCCCAAATTACCATTTTTATCGATATAATTCTAATCCATTGGTTTATGATTCGAAATAATTCCGTATCCAAACAAAAATGAAAATGTTAAACATCGAAATCAAATTAAACAATCGAAAACTTTTGTTTACACACGATTACCGCGAGTAATCGCGATTTTTGCGAGTAAACAGGCTATCAGGCGAAAAATCGCGAGTACTCGCGCACTTTTTTACTGTGCAGTGGAAAAAAATGTAGCAAACATATCATCACCGTTTATAAGTGAAAACAAGCATTCCAATGTTGAACTAAGCGTACGAAATTTGAGATGAGGACCCAAAACGACCCAACCACAAAAACAAAATCCTCTGTAAAATGATAAAATTTTTAAACAATTTTTTTTATAAACTAATGATGAACAATTACACTAACCCATAAACTAAAAATGCACAGAGACAGAACCGCAAAACGTTTGGAAAAGATTTCTTCAATGTTACAATAAGAGAATGTTGTATGATTGAAAATAGGCAAAATAACGTAATAATGGAAACCAAACCAAAAGATTACCAATGCCTAAAAATAGCGAACAGCTAACAGAAAAAAAAATTATAACCAATTTAATTTGAAACATATAAATATTTAACAAACCTATTCATCTTTTTTACTGATACAATTGGACTATCACCTTTATGGCTTCTACAAATTGATAATAATGATGAACCATTGTTGTAGTGAGAATCAATTAAATGCAAAACGAACAATATTTAATAATAAATATGTCGTGGGATCGTTTGTGAAAATCGGATTTTTATTTGTTGTCGAGTTGTGTGTATTAGTGTTCCTGACTCGGAATTTTCGGCTGAAAAACGTGCTCGTTCTCTCTCACCGACATTCTCGGTCGAAATAGGGGAAAGTAGAAATAGGCAGGAGCATGCGCAGCCAGTAATGCTACATATATACAGTGATATAATACAAATATACAGTAATACCGCTTAACGCGGGTTTACGTTCAAAAATATTGAGCGTAAAGCGAAACAACAGCGCAAAGTGGGGTTATTTTTGCATAATTTACATAATGCATTTTTACTCTTCATATACAATGTAACAATGTATTGCAATGTAATGTAATTGCAAAGCGTTATATCGAAACAGCGATAATCGGGGCAGCGTTAAGCGAAGTATTTCTGTAATATCGTAAAATATGATTGTTATATACGACCATAATTACATTCTATATTATGGGGGAGGATAATGGTCTGGGGGAAAATTACCCCATCATTTATAAATTTGCCTCCCCCATTTACACACATTAACACATATACACGCATATACACATTCGACGTCGGTTCAAATCCCATCGCGGCCGCCTGGGTTAATATAAAAAATAGTCAGTGTTGGGGGTGGATAGTGGTTTGCGCATAATCACTTATAAATTTGCCTCCCCCTCGCTTATAAAACCTATTTGTTGGGGAGGATAGTGGACAATCACTTATAAATTTGCCCCCCAATTATTTATATACACATACACACTTGCGCATAAAGTAATTTAAAAAATAGTCAGTGTTGGGGGTGGATAGTGGACAATCACTTATAAATTTGCCTTCCCCTTGCTTATAAAATCTATTTGTTGGGGAGGATAGTGATTCGGAGCGAAATTGTCCGATCATTTATAAATTTGCCCCCCAATTTTCAAATACACATTTACACATTACACATAAATTAATTTAAAAAATAGTCAGTGTTGGGGGTGGATAGTGGACAATCACTTATAAATTGGCCTCCCCCTTGCTTATAAAATCTATTTGTTGGGGAGGATAGTGGTATGGACCATAATTGTCCGATCACTTATAAATTTGCCCCCCAATTATTTATATACACATACACACATACTTATATCTAAATATAAAAAAATAGTTAGTGTTGGGGTGGATAGTGGACAATCACTTATAAATTTGCCTTCCCCTCACTTATAAAACCTATTTGTTGGGGAGGATAGTGGTATGGACCATAATTGTCCGATCACTTATAAATTTGCCCCCCAATTACATACACATTTATATCTAAATTTTCTTCTAAATTTAATTGTATATAATACATACCAGTACACAGGGCCGAGAAAATCGCGAGGCCTTAAAAAATTTTTATCATAGGCGAAAAAAAGAAATTGGTGAAATATTCGAAAAACACCGAGAAGCTATTGATTCACTGGCGGCAAAAAATATTGATGAAGTGTTGGCGGGACTGGTAAAAATTTGTGAAACATCAGATACATTTGCAAACAGGAAAATAAGTCATGAGACATTATGACATTTCATTTTTAAAATTTTTATATTTCGAGAAAACCACACACACATGGGACATGAAATGACAATCGAAAATAATCAAATGAATAGATATGTTATTCCATTTTTTTACCTTGTTTTGTTGATAAGAAAAATGAAAACGACATTGTTTCGTTTGAAACTTTGTTGTTTTGCTTTCCATCTAAATTTGAATCATTTATGTACTCAAATTATCATCATTTTCATTAAGATTTTCATAAATTATTCAACAACATTGTTTGTGTTTTTTTTTGCATACGATTCGATTATTTTGTTGTTGAGCTCCTTCATTCATTACCAAAAATAAAAAAAAACTTTTGGAATTTCAAATGACATCATCAAAACTCAAGAATTTTTTTTTTGTTAGTGGGAAATACCTGGAACAGTAGTCGCCATCTAGTATTTATAATTAGAAATATTTTTTTACTTGTTTCTATTACGAACCATCAGATGCCGTCAGTGAATGAAAGTTGTATTTTTATTTTTTCCAAAAGACAGTCATTTGAATCATTTGAATTCAAATTGATGATGATTGTAAAAATCAATTAATTTTACCACCTATGGATATGTTATAATGAAATTGACATTTAAATAAAATATACATTACACATACACACACACGCACAACTAATTGATTTGATTCTGTTGACGAATACATCGAAACCGGCTAATAATTTTCCTGATTTTATGTACAATGGTTGGCCTATTGGCATATTGTCAACCAAAAAAAAAAATTATCATCCATTGAAAATGTTAACGATAAAAAATAAAATAAAATCCTAAAGGAAATGCCTTAGCAAAAAAAAAATAAATTTTGTTCATTATAACATTCAAAAAACACACACACACACACACACATTTGTTTAAATCATGTATATTTTTTTTCACTGATAATCAATCATCAATACATCGATTGATGATTGATATCAGTAAAAGTTGTATATTTCATTTGAAATTCCATTTAAATTGATAAAAAAAAATATGAGCAAATATTTGATATAAAAAAAAATATTTTTTTAGATAATAATCATCATCATCATCATTATTATTGTGAAAATAAAACGCATATATATCCACCATCAAAATAGTGAAAGGTAGATAGTGATGAATCCCAAAGTTTGTTTCTAAGTAGGCAATGACTTCCTTTGAATTCTCTAATTCATTTTTAACGGTTCGCAACAAAAAAAAAAAAAAAAAAAATTCAAACTAATTATAAATCCTGACAACAACGACAACAACAATAATGAAGACGATTATAGCGACAACAAACACAAACGGCAATCAAAATTAAAATAAATCCGCATTTTGGATGACAACCGGCATAATATTTTAGTTGAATATATATTTTTTTTTGTTTCTGTTTGTTGCTAATTTTAGTAACAAAATTTAATCTAGAAAACAAACAAATAAACAAAATTGAAGTGTGCACCAAGAAACAGAAACAAAACGGTGTATGCAAACATTCAAAAATAGTCAGTGATTTTAATCATACGATTTTGGAAGAATCGAGAAAATTTTCAGGAAAAAAAAACAACAAAATCTAGATGTATATAAAAAAAAGGATTGCCAACAATCAGGACAATGTCAATTGTTTCTCATTCTTTTCATTTTAAATTTCCTTCTTCAAATGTTGTTGTTGTTGTTGTTGTTGTTGTTGTATTTTTAATCAAATTTGATTATAATTTCCTTTTTGGTTGCACACAATAACAATAACAACAGTGAAAATAAAAAACAGGATTTAATTCATTTAGAATTTTTTTTTTAAATTTACAAAATGGCTGCTATGTTTGCTAACTTCATCATCATCACCATCATCATCATCATAACCATCGCCATAGTGTCTGAATGGTGGCCGGCTTGTTGCCTGGTTTCTAATCATTATTATTATTATCAAACATCAATGGAAATAAACTTGTTTCGACTTGTCGGCGTTTTGTTTTTCACTTCTCGCTTGTCAATAATAATAATGATGATTGGGATAGCCTCGCTTGTTTTGGTATACGTAAAAAAGATGAATTACGAAATCATTTTTTGTTTTGTTTTAACCTTTTTCATAGCCAGAATCATACGATGAATGCGAATAAGGATAAATTGATTGCAAAAAAAAAAAAATTCTCAATTTAACCATCAAATTGAATAGATTAAATTGATGTTATCTGCCATCATGATTATTATTATTGTTTCATAAAATTCATTTCTATGATTCTGTCATGATTTTTTTTCTGTTTTTTTTCACAATTCGAATTCGATAGTATTTATACAGGTTTTGTGTGTGTGTGTGTTTGTGTCGATACCATCGATCCAAGGTCAGTGAATGAATTGAAAAAGTAGAAGAAACACATATACACACACACATTGAGAGACCATTTCATATAATTTTCACCCGAAATCTACCAATTATAGTGGGATTCTCAAGGATATTTTTTTTCCTATTCAATCTACTAAAATGACGCCATGTTGATGAATGACTGTAAAATCATTCAGTCAGATTGGTTTTATTTTTATGATTGTCAGGATGGATGGATGGATAGATTGTTGGCTGGCTGACGTTGCCTGGTTTTTGCAGTCCTGCATTGGCAAAACAAACACATAAACACTTTACAGAGATCACACTAACTGATGGTTTGAGGGCCATCTATTCTAAACAACACACACACACACACACAAAGATATAAACAGCCAAAGGCCATACATTCATCTTATATATTACAAATCATTTGGCTTACGTGACCCAACACCAACAACAACAACAACAACAACAACAACAATCAACGAACAAGGTCATATAAAAACATGACAACAATCAATATTCAAAAATACAAGCTAACTAAAATTATGATAGGATTGAAAGGCAAAGATTTGATAATAATAATAATAATTCTATATATTGTTATGATATATATGACCTATGGAACCATATAGAAACAAACAAAAATCATGTGATTTAAACATGTTGCTGATGATGATGTTGTTGTTTTTGGTGGTGGTGGTGGTGGCAAGGGTGGGAATCACCTCTCACTCTTATCAAGTTGAAACCATGGTTGATGATGATGATGATGATGATGATCATCATCATTAACTTTGAGGTGCAATGCCAAGAATATATAACTCGTTTCGTTTCGTTTTCATTCTTTTTTTTACTTGCTACAAATATTATTTTTAGGAATAAAAATCATAACTTTTCGAATTGACGTAGGTTTTTTTTTGTCGAAAAAACTAGAAGAAAACAATTATTTATTGCAACATTTTAATTTGTACATAATTGAAAGAAATAGATGAAAAATAATAATAATAACGACGAACATTGGGTGGTTAAATCAATTTATCAACAACGAATTTATTTTTTTTTTTGCATGAAAATGACATAATAATAATACGTCATTCGTTAATCTAATTTAATATGAAATTACCACAATTATTCACAGTTGCCAATAATTGAAATGAAAGTTCTCCAACCGAGCTAAAAAAAATAAATAAAAAGAATGTGACAAGAGAATCAAGTTTATTCTGGTTAAAACTTGTTTCACTTTGAAATGATCCATCAATATGGTTATGAAGAAAAAAAATAAACATTCGAAACAACAACAACAGCAACCATATACGCAAATCCTGGTTTATCCATCCATCCATCCGTCTATCTATCTATACCCGGTGGGTAATTCTACATTGACATAATGATTAATCAGAAGTGACTGATGTGTCAGATTATAATAAACTTGTTTGTTGTAAATTTTCAACATTTGATTTTGGTTAACTAGACAACCTAGGCTAACTTTATCTATTTATATTGACACAACAGCAACAACAAAAAAAGTATATCCCCAGATGATCATGTGATGATTAGTGATATTATTATTATTATTGTAGTGCATAATAATAAAATTCCAACTTTTTCTTTTTTATTTTTCTGGTGCACAAAAATTAATTGTCAACAAATTGTGTGAAAAAAAAATAGTCGACATAACCTTTTTTTTGAATTGAATTGATATCAATTACAAACACACAAAAGTCAAGTATTTTGTTTGTCTTGATATGGATACGATTCCTTTTCTTATTTTTCTTGTTCTTGTGTTTGATTATCAATCAAAAAAAAAAAAAATTTATCAATATTATTCTGAAATAGAAACTTATCAAAGAAAAAATAACTGCAAAGTTTTTTCTTCTTTTTTTTATTTATAAAAAAAATGAGAACATCAATTTAGATAGCAAAAAAAAAAAAAATTTTTTTTTATTTGGACCAAAGCCAAATCCTTTTTTTGTCATCATAATAATCATCAAAATGATCATTGTATAACCAGGATGATGATGATAATGATAATAGCTAGTTTGGCTGGCTACAGTATAAAAGAATCATTGACCCTGGGTTTATATAGGCCATTGCATGTGGGCGGAGGGGGTTGGGGAATAAGAGAACCCAAGAAGCCAAAAAAAAAAAAAAAAAAGAAAAAAAAATTCCTCTAGTATCATCATGGACATTGACTACTACAACTACATTTTGTTTATTATAATAATGTTAATATAAATGAAAAGAAACTGAATACCGAATTTTTTTTTCTTCATATGAACGAATCTAGTCCAATTTAAAAAAAAAAATTTTACAGAAGAAAAAATATGTGTGGGAACCAAACTGGCTTTGTCATGATTCCTGATACTAGCTTCCGTGTATGTGTGTGTTTGTATGCATGTATTTATAATATAATGTATTTATGTATGTATATGAATGAATAGTGCGCCGAATCATCATCAGGAAATGATCCAAATTCAACCAACAACAACAACAGTGTATGATGAACCAAGAGAACTTTGATATTATCATCATTATCATTGAACAAATTGATACTGATTCATCATGATGATTCTATCTATCTATCTATCTATCAGTTATATTGATTCTTATGATGATGATGATGATGAGCATGTTTTTTTTTTTGCTGTCAAAACAAATCCTTTCAGCACTTAAAAACCGGGTTAACAACAAGAAAAAAAATATACATTAAAAATTGAGGCCATTTCCAGTGAAGATATGAAGGAGAAGGAGAGCGAAAAAAAATATCAAGCCCAGATCATAGATTTTTTTTGTATATAGAAAAAAAACCATGAAAATCGAATCGAATTCTAAATCAAAAATATTGAAAAATAACAACCAGCATGTTTGTCCATTTGGATGAAAAAATTTATTCAAATCCTGGTTGACAAAAAACACACACAGACAGATGTTGAAGACGCGCGCGCGCCAATTCTTGTTGATATTAATTTCAATCATCATCATCAATGTTGGATCATGTGCTTTACAATTTTGTGTGTCTGTGTGTATATGTTTTTCAATTTGTTTGAATCTAAATTTAGATATGATAAATATTTGTAAATTGTGATGAACTTGAATTTTTTTTTTCGAGCTCGCGCGTGTGTTTGTGTGTGTGTGTTTCTTAATATACAAAATGGATGGATTTTTTCTTTTTATTTTTTCATTGATTGATTGAATTTTTCCATTTGAAGAGAGAATATATATATATAAAAACAACACACAAACAGCATCAGCAGTAGCAGCAGCAACAGTAAAAAAAATGAGAAAATTGACTGTAAAAAGTCACATGTTTTTTATTTTGATTTTTGATTTTTGTTTTTACATTCGAATTTTTTTCATTTATTACACGTAAAACTTTCATATTGGCGATTATAAAAAAAAGTTCTCTACACGTGTTTGTTGAGAACACTAATTTCACATATTGGGCCATTCTTCCTATTTACGTTTTGAATATATATAAACATTTTATATATGGCTTACGTGACCTGTGTCTAATAGACACATAATATATATACACGTACAACGGCTAAAAAAAAACACCAATAACAAATTGTTTGGATCGATAATTGTGTTGTTCGATTATGTTATCACATTTTAAATATATAATAATCTTTTATATTTATATTATTATTGTCATTAAATAAATGATTAATAAGATGTTGTTATTGTTATTGTTGTTAATCAATCAATCAATCAAATTGATTGATTTACCGATTAATCATCATTGATCATTGATTTTATTTGATTTTTTCCTTTCAATTTTTATTGTTTTTTCAATTTTTTTTTTTACTTCTATCTTTTGATATGAACACACAGTGTAGAGTTTTTGATTTCATATAAATATTTCTTTTCATCATCATTGATTAATTTCAGATGAAGTCGTTTTTTTTTGGCTATCCTATCCGATATATCAAATCGAGTGATAAAACGCTACCACCAAAATCAATCCATCCATCGGGTTTATTTGTCATTTATATGGATGTTTTCTCTTGTATTTTCAATACATATCTTTTTTTTTTATTTATCGATTTATCGAAACAAAATATAAATATATATAAAAGTTAAGTTTAAGTTATCAATTGTGATTGTGGATTGTGTGGATTTTCACAGATTTGTCATACACACAACAACAACAACAACAACAATATATACACACTATAAACTCGTGATTCGAATTGAATTTCGAATATTATTTTCAGAAAAAAAAAATTTTTTGTTTTTTTGTTTATTTATCTGTCTGTCTGTATGGATGTATGTCTTGTGTTGTTTTCTCATTTCATCTAATCGATTAATGTGATGATCGATCAAGTCGCCGGCAAAGCAGCAACACGTGAATATTCAACCTAAAATATTAGTAATCAAATATGAGAAGAAAAATTTTTTTTTTTTTTTGGCAAATACAAATCTAATGAATCATTTTATTTGGCCGGATTTTATTTTTTTTTTTTTTTTTTGATGACCTAAGTTTTTTTTAATTTGTTGTTGATCGATTGTGATTTATAAAAATTCAATCGTCGTGTTTTATTGATTTTCATTTCAAAACAAAAAGTACGAACATTTTTTTTTGTTTTGTTTTGTTTCCATTGACTTTTCGATTCGATTATAATTCTTCCTCTCTCATTCAATCCTGTCTTTTCATCATTGATTGTAAGTTTTATTATTATTCTGTTATAATAATAATTATTCTGGTAGCGGTACAATTTTTTTTTTACTGTTTTTCTGTTTCACATTCGGGTGAAAGAGAGAGAAAAACAAATCGAATTCATTTGAAATGATGATTAAAAATTTTGATCAATATATAAAAATATATATATACTATACATCTATAGCAATAACTATGTATGTATAAACTTGGTCGACAAAAAAAAAAAAAAATGGAACACACAAAAATATTTGCTGTTTTGTTTTGTTTGTTTGGCCATGTTGTTGATGACGATTGCGGCAGCATTCCGTAAACACCCCTTATCCATCCATTTTTACAAAAAAAAATTATAATAATAAACTAATCGATCGTCCGATCAAAAAATTCTACGCGCAGATGTAAAATTGAAAATGGAAAGCAAAGCAAAGCAAAGCAAAAAAAAAAAAAATGAAACGAGACAAGAGGCACATCATCATCAAGAAAAAATAAAATAAAATAAAATATTGGGCCAAAGAGAATATGCGCGTTGTGATAATCACGTTCGCCAATTTACTGTGTGTGTTTTTTTTTCCTATAGATTTTCAATACCACTGCTTTTCAATGCATATACATTTATATTATATTCACATATATCAAAAACAACAACAACAACAACAACAACAGCACATTTTTTGTTTTACAATTTTCAAACAGCAAGCTATAAAAGTCACACGACAAACAAGGCAACAAGCTTATTTTTTTTCAATTTAAATTGCATTCCCATTTAATAGTCCATATTGATCGATAGTGTGTTAGTGATTCATTCATCTCGTTTCGAACATTTAATATTATATTATTATTATTTACACATTTTCTCTATTCGAATTTGGCTCAAATTTTCTCATTTCATTCATCTACATTTCATTTTTTTTTATATTAACAAAATATATATACAAAAAAAAATCAGAGATTCATTTTTTGCTCTTTACACAATTATTATACAAGTGTCTCTGGATAATAATAATAATTTATATTTTCTGTTTTCTGTTTTTTTCCCCTTTCATCGTCTTTTTCATTTGGTAAGAATTTTAATTCAAAATTATACCCTCGAATCCATTTACACATTTTTATTTTGCTGTGTTTATATTTTGTTTACCTTTATTTGACATCTGTTTTTTATTGTTTTTGTTCTTGTTTTCTTGTTTTTTTTCTCATATAGTCTTCGATACCTTCCGATGTAAATTTTTTTTTGTCATATAAATGTGTTTGCCAATGGAACCATCGACAAATAATAAACGATCGGAAGCGATTTGGATTTCAAATAAAAAATCCATGGATGATGTGAATAATAACAAGACACCAAAAAATTCTTATGACAGTGGTTTCGGTGCATTTTCTTATGGTAGTAGCTTGAGCAGTAATAGTAGTACAATGTCTCGATCACCATTTGATTATCGTCGTCAATCATCATATCCGGAAGGCCATAATAATAATAATAATAATGAATCACCGTTGCCATATGCTGGAAGACGCCGTACGATGACTGTTTCAAGTGAAAATTATTCATTTGGTGATAATTCCTCAACGCCTAGCTATCAGCAATCACCATTCCGTCGTTCAAACAGTATCTCCGGTGGGGCCGAACCAAATTTTGGTGGCATTATTAAACGCTCTATTGGTCAATTATTCAATGCAGCCACAGTGAATACATCGTTGGCGACAGCTACCATACAGAAAAGTGTGCCTAAAGTAAAATGTGTTCCATCGATGCAAACAGCACGTAGGAATAGCCATGATCGTAATGAACAAATTACCGATCATATGGTATCCTATCTATGCGAAAGTGCCATCCGTTAATATTGAAACCGATTGGTAAAGCCGACACCGTAAACAAAACGCTAGATTATCAAGACCAAAACCACTTATTCATTTGCGTTGTTGACCGATCGGATATGTTCGTTTTGTCTACGAATTTTTTTTCTGGTCAAATCCGGAAAAAACAAACGTTCTCAAAACGAACCACAACAAACCAAACCTGGCGACCCGAGTGTGATCTTTTCAATGAACATCATCCACTCTCTTTACTTGAATAGATGATGTTAGACCCGAAAGTGAGAATCATTCATTAAATCTCATCTCATCCCCATACATTTACATATTCATTCGTTCATTTCAATTCAAAACGCTGATTCTGTATTTCGAAATCACAAAAAAAGAAAAAAAAATCACCATGTCATTCGATGAAATTCATTGTGTTTCTCGTTATATTTAGCGTATAAAAAGTATTGTCGAGAATCTCATCAATTCATGTCATACATCACAGAATATTTCATGTCATGTCGAATTACGATTCATTCATTTGTCATGTTACGATTTATACCTCCATGGCTTTCATTATTATCATTACAACAATACACTCAACAGACACACATTGGCATCCACACATAAATATGAGAAATCCATTATAAAGAACGGTTTTTCACATCATCAGGATATACTTACCAATAACACACCCACCCATTTTGGGCGTTGTTCTTTGAATATAATTTTTTTTTGTTAACAAGTCTCTTTTTTTTCATTTGAGTTTGTCAATTTTTATTTCCAATCATTTCATTTTTGATCTTTTGATAAATTTACCCATTTATCTCATATTTCATCATCTTTGTCTGTTGATTCATTGAATAAAAATTCTTTTTTTTTCGTTTTGTAATTGAAAAAAAAATTCTAATTTTATTTTTTTTTACAGTAAAAAAATTATTGAATGAGTATATATGCAATTTGTTTGTGTGTGTGTGTGTGTACACATGTGTCTAGTGTAGTAGTAGTAGTTAATTAATTTAATTGAATTGAAAAGTAAAAAGAAATTCGGTTTTGTTCTCAGTGTAATAATTGTCAGATAGAATTATCATGTATAAAAAAAATGAGCATTTCAATTTGAAAATTGTTGAATCTAATTTTGATCAATTGGCGATAACTAAATGTGATATATTTAATGATTGCTGAAAATAGTGACCCTAATAAATTAATGTGTGAATATATGAATATGATGAATGAATGGATTGAATTTGAATTCAATTTGAATGTTTTGCAAGAAAAAAAAATCCAATAAATATAGGAGAATTATGTTCATCATCCATCAGTCGTAATGAAAATTTTGTACTTTTTGATTCAAATAATTTTCAGCCATTCGATCGGAATCGTATGATTGTTTAATTCGTTGTAAATGTTTTTCCAATTGATCATATCCACGATACAATGTGACCGTATTTCGTACATTATCACCGTCACCAAGTGATAACAATGCTATTAATGCTATGGCTTCAAGATTATTTACCATTCGGATTGTTCGTTCAGTTTTAGATTTGTTTCTTAAGAATAAATGAGCATCCGAACCGAATATCTGATCAATTTCCGATTGTTCAAATAGTTTAGCTACAATACAAATATCGTATAATTGTCGATTTTTTTCATCATCATCAAACGATATATCGATATATTCGATAGGTGCATCCACTACCCGAAAATATTGCATCAGTCGGACCAGCGAATCCGGTAGTCGATCTAAAGATTGTTCACGACGTTGAAGCATTTCTTGACATCGATTGTAGTATGATTGCATTTTATTCAGATATCGAACCGAATTTTCGACAACATCCTGATCGATGCATTTATAACGATACATATTGATCAGATGAAGAATGCAATTATGACGCAGATTACATCTAATTAACATCGGTGTGTTGATTATCATGAAATTTTTCACTGCATCCGCCATATGACAATCGGCAAAATAACGATTTCTATAGACAAACATCATAATCATTACAATGGATTCCTATGTTCGATTGATACAAACCTGTATTTCATGATAAATTGATTCCATAGTCCCATCACAGTTTTTTCACCAGGATTTACATCGATAAAATCTTGCATCATCTATAGCCGAACAAATTAAAGAATTAAATCACAAATCTAAATAAATATGCATACAATACTTACATGACGTTTCTGCCGCATTCGCCATTGGATTTCATCTGTTTCACTATCATCGTTCATTTCGGCAGGCAATATTGGCAACATTGTACGTGAATGATAGAATACTCGTCGTTGAGACAAAGCTTCATATGAACCGATTCGACTATTTACATCAATTTGATAGTATCTACTCTCATCATTATATGTGAACATTGTACACAATGATCGATGATCACGACCAATCGATATCATCATTGTAGTTGGTTGATGATTTGTTGTCGGTCGACGTTCTGGTCTTGTACATCTCATTCTTGACAGCCACTGTCTTCGTGTTCGTTGTTGTTGAGGACAGAAATTTAATGCTTTGAATAATGGATCAGTTTCGAAAGTTGGATCAAATTGTTTATTAATACCAACATGTATCGAAATGAAATTATTCATAGGATCCATGCTCATCTTAAATATGAAACGTTCATGATTTGTTTTCAAATGAACACCCAATTGAGCCAGCATAACAAATTGTCGTAAACACAATGGACAGCTTATATCTTCACTAACCAGATTCGATTGAATCTGTGAGAATTCGTAGATGATTTTGAATGAATCTGTCTCATGAAGTAAACGTGGTATGATTAGCTTTGGTTTTGACGCATTTCTCGGGGCTACATGACCGTTGATTAGATTTTGTCCCGATACAGATGCAGCAGCCGCTGCTGCTGCTTGTCGTCGTGTATTTGCCCGCAAAACTCGTTGATTTTTGAGCTGCGAATCTGGGCAATCAATTGTTTTGTCATCATCATTCTGAGATCGAGCCTGTGCTAATTTTTTCCAAGTGGTAAATTGGCCACCATTGAATATGGAGATCAATTGTTTGGATGAAATGACCTGTTGATTACCATTATTACCGAATAATTTTTTCACATAGCCACTATAATCTCCATCATTGTTATCGTTACTGAGATTCGTACGTAACAAACGAAATGTAATGAAATTCACATCAATTTGTTGTTTATTTTGATTCCCATTTCGCCTTGATGACCGAAGTTTACACTTACAATCTCCAAATCCATAGTAGCCACAATATGAATCTTTAGAATTGTCTCGATAGAATATATCATCAGATGTTATTCGATGCCATTTGTTCAATTCGGTCACAATGTTCATGCGACGTCGGTGACCAGATAGTGTCATTTCTGATTGACATAGCATATGTGTTTCTTCACCTTTGATTAACTGTGATCGCCGTTTACGATATTTATTATTATTAATAATTTGTTTATCATGACAGTTTGGTAATTCTTTCGCATAGTGAATATCTTCAATGTTTTCCAATTCGAAGCCAAAATGAAATTCCATTTTGTCATTAAGATTATTATGGTCAATAGTCTTGGATGATAATACATCTACAGATTTTGATTTACCGCGATGACCGTCTAGAATTGGTTTCTTGTTGGATTTGTTTTGTGTTGAATTCCTGACATTATTCGGTTTATTTTGTCCATTCAATCTTTTACAATTGGCCATGAATTGTGATTTAAGTTGTGAATGGGATCGAAAATAAGTAACAACTGCATTTATAAAATACTTATGGTCTTCACTTGAATGAATGAATTCATTCGAATTAATCTGATCCAATTCAAATAGTAATTTTATTGGTATGATGATACGATTGTTTATTATGCGTGAAGATTTTGATCCAAAATGAACGCATGACGTACCCACTATTAAGAAAAGGAAAATGAAAACTTTTTTTATAGAAAGTAAAAAAGACAAACCGTATATTTTTGAATCATCGAATAAATCAGAATCGAGCATCGTATTCGGACCTTGTCTGCGTAATACAAAGAAATCGATGGTAGCATATTCATAACCAGTGATTGAATTCAACGCCAATGGATCCAATACCAATGAGGTAGAGACAATTCTGTGTATAGCTCATGTAATTAGCGAGAGAAAATAATGATTGAAGCCTAGCACACAAACCGTTCATCTTGATCATCATTGCTGCCATTAACATCAATGTTGTTTTTATCTTTATCGGCTGATTGTCCATTGATATCTGGAATGATAGGATTATGTGTTGATTGTTGATTATGATCCATATCGATATCATTATTACCGTTACTATTATTGCAGCTATCACCATTATCCAGTTGAATATTGCCATTTAAGTTGCTATTGCTATGATCATGTCGCTTAAAAGCGGCATTATATTCACATTGAAAATGTTTCATATACGATAATGAAGAAGTTAGATATAATGGTCTATCCAAATGGTTGTATTCACATAGTTTGTACAATTGAAACAATCCTTTTGGTGTATTAAAGAAAAAAAAAGAGAAATCAATCTATCAATTCTGAATTGGTCAATCGTAATACATACTTTGATACATGAAAAAATTTTTGCCAATTAATTGATCCTTGAAATCGATCTTGTTATTGCCAAATTCAAATTTTTTATTAGCATCAGCATCTACATCTGATTTGTTAGCCGTCGTTGTACTGTTCACGGTTTGATTGATTAATCGTTTAACGATACTTTTTTTGGCCAACGGATGTTTTTGTATCGCAGATGCTGCAGGTGTATGATTGGTGGTAATTCGATTTAAATTCTCATCATTGACAATATTCGGATCGGATATGTTATTTGTTTTGATTGATGCCGATTGTAGCTGTGTATTTTTTGTATATAATTTTCGTATGAATTTACGAAAAAATCGATCTTCATTATTCGATTCATTTTTTTCAATTTGTACTTTTTCCATTGGATGTTTATTAGATTTGAAATTAACATTTTCGAGAAGAATAACATCATCATTGTTTTTGACATTATGTGCAACATTGAATACGTCCATACGAGGTTGCATTCGTACTGGACGTTTAGCAATTTTACGGCTATCTTTATGACAGTTTTCTACAGATTTAGGTGACTTGTAGATTTCTTTTTGATTCAATAGTCGTAGTTTCTGGTTAACTTTACCTGTAATTCGGTGTTTTTTACGTTTACGGCCACGTTGACTCAATTGCTTGGCAGTTTTGATTTCGCGTATAAGCTCTTTAAAAATAATCTGATTTGATGTATGATGTGTTTTAAAATTGAATAATGGTCGTGATATGTTGAAAGTAATCGATTCAATCGGATGTTTGGTTTCTGAGGTATTTTTCGATTTGACACTTTCGGTAGGCAGTTGTTCATCCATCGTTGACAACTCGTAGTCATCACTCGATGATAACTTGATTGCCGTTGGACCATGATCCTCGCCATTGCAAATATGACCATCTTTATCATCACAACCACCGATAACAGTGGGTACAAGCGACAATGTATGGTTGTTATCTTTGTCGATATTTATACCAGTTACAGAACAAATACCAGAAGCCGTCATGGTAACACTCAGAGATGTTTTTATATCTATTTCCATTCCAATATCATAACCATTTTCATTTTCAACATTGTATTTCATTTTTAGTCGACTTTTGTCTAGCTTGTTCTTTGTACATTCTGTACAATTCACAACTAAAGACTCGTTTGTTATATCTTCGTTTCTGCGTAATTTTTTCTTGTTTGGTTGATCATCAAGATGATAGCCATTACAGATGATCGTTTCTGTTATAACTTCTGGAGACGATGATTGTTGATTAGTTATAAGTTGTTGAGTTTTTAAAAAATTTGGAGATTTATTGGCTGTCCCAGTTTTGATTGTCACTTGATCTGATAGATGAAGATGAGAATGAGGGAAATGATATCCACTACCGGGCCAATCATAGATATAATCTTGTTCATTATGGATATTTCGCATATTTCTACTGGTTGAATATTGCTTGATACGGGCACTCCGGCGAACTTTTTCAACTTTACATTCATCGTAACTGGAATCGAACATATCCAACGTTTGTGCATTTTTTGGCAAAATAGAAGCGATGGTATTTGGTGTCTGGTGAAAGTCCACCGATCGGCATAATGTTGATGATGATTGAACTTTATTAAAATGTGTAGCAGTAGCAATTGTAGAATCATCATTCGCTTTAGCCACATTATCATCGTCATGTTCATGATGTTGATGATGAATAACATCGTCATAATTTCGTAAATGCCAATTATTACCATTCAATAGCGATGTCGATTGACGATCATCATCATTATTATCATTCTCTAATGATTGGCTCATCATAAAACAATGATGAGGCCAATACAATATAATTGGTGAATTTCGAAAACAAAAAAAAAACTTTGATTCTTGTCAATTTGAAAGATTTTAGTTTTTTGTAAGGCCTTATTGAAATGCAGAATCCAATTGATTAATTAATTTCATTTGAGATAAACATATAAACGTAAATTTTGTATGAATTTCATCCGAATTGAACACAATCAATACACCAAAAAAAAAAAAACAGACACACAAAATGCAAAACGACTTGAGTTTGTAGCCGTTGAACTTGCACATTGTACATCAAACAACATGTATTTGAACGTTGATTCGAGCGATCGATCGGACAGACAGACAAGAGATCTTGTACACTTCACATCAACTAACTCATTTCACTGTTAAAACGTGCGCGCCTTTTTTTTCCTGTATACACCAACAAAGATCTTTCACCCCTCAATAGATAAATGGATCAGCCCTCAATTTTGTTTTTTTTTATTATTTTTGTTCGTTTATAGAATCAATCTCAAACATGTAGCCAGTGTGTGTCACATATACTTTATATCAAAAAAAAAAAAAAATAATAAAAAATTTCGGATACTGAATAGTTTGCGCAGTGGTAGTAGTAGTATATAATATCTTTTTGATTCTTTTGTTGTTGGATCCTTGTCTGTCTGTCTGTCTGTTTTTCTATGTATGTGTAGTGAGTGAATGAGTGTGTGTAAGCGGGGCTATTCAAAGATTTCAGAACAAACTAGGAAGAGGAAGTTTATTTTGATTTATGAACTATGATGATGATATTTATCATTGATTGATTGTATTGACACACACAAAGAGAGAGAAAGAAAGAGAGAGAGAGAGACAGATAGACATCAGGTTCATTGTGACATTGACAAGTTGAAATTGATTAATTGATTTATTGAATCAATGATGAGATTGTCATCATTGATGATGATGAATTTTATTTATAAACAAATCAATTTTATAATTGAATGGTCATTATATCAAGTAGAAAAAAAACAAACAAAACAAATGGAAAATATGTGCCCAAAATGTGCCACTATGAATTTCAAATGATATAAATGAATTTCGAATGAAACAAAAAAAAAATTGGCGGATTTTCTTTATACAATCATTGATATTTCAAAATTGATTTCTTTTCTATTTAAAAATAAGATTTTCTGACGTAAAATTTGAATTATTTCTTCCAATTTTTTTTTGTTTTCCTGACAAAGGGTGACAGTAACCAGCTGTGTGAATTATGTATCGTATAAGTGGACGTCCTTGGATATTTAAAAAAAAATTCTATTTCATCTTCATCGTCGTCGTTTTTTTTGGCAACAAATTTCTTAATTTATCTGTGTTTGATGACGCAAATCACAATAATATAAACGACGACGATTAAGAGGTGCAATATATATTGTAATAAACAAAACAGTAAGCAGAATTTGTGAATTGAAAATTAAAAAAAAAAATTCTCACCAATCATCATCATAATCATCATCATTTGAAGTATGTTTCTTGGTGCACAAGGTTGTTTTTTTAAATTAATCAATAAAAACTGTCCGAATGACCTTTTTTTTATTTGGTGACCATATATTTTTTTTCCCAACACTTTTGTTTGCCGTGAATATTACCGATCACAACAACAAAAAAAAGAACCAGAGAAGTACAAAAAAAATAATAATAATAACGATGGTTAAAACCTGTATGCCGGTATCATCACCAAATGATGATGATCATCATCATTTTGATGATAAAATTCATTGCAGTAAGTAGGAAAAATATCAAAAAAAAAAAAATTTTTTTTTTAGTAGGACAAACACCAACTCATGCACAAAAAACATATGATCAAAGATTTCATTATATGATTACCTTGAAAATTATCCACCAAAATTTAATTTATCATAATCGATTAATCGATTGAATCAGCCATATGATATATATTAGATAGACTTATGATATATCATCATTATTACATCTTCATATTCAACTTATGGATTCTTCTTTTTCTTTTTCTTTTTTTTTTTGGGGGGGGGGCGAAGGATGATTTCCTAATAATTTTTTTTTTCTACATGGCTATGATCAAAGATCACATCAATTTGGTCAGAAATCCAGATACAATTTATGCTAATGACGTCACCAAAAGAAAAAGTGCTGGTGGCATTCCTATCTATTTTGGCAATATAAATAATAAAATAAAAACTCATTTATTTCTGTTATTATTATCATCATCGTTGAAAAATTTATTTATTTTCTTTTTGTCATTGCATGTTTACAACTTACAACTGATTTTTATGAGCCTCAAAAAAAAAAAAAAAATGACGATGATGATGATTTTTGATCTTTGATCCATATACTTGACAAAATGTGATTTACTATTTCCATCAAAATTGCGTATTTTATTTCCAACGATTCACATTTCGGCATACAAAAATAATAAGATCAAAAAAAAAAAAAAAAAACAAAACAAAACGAAAACGAAAACGAAAACAAAAAAAAAAAAAAAACTCGTGTCTATGAGTTGTCAATTCATACCATCCAAATTGATCGATCCAAATTATTTACAATTGGATAATGGATATCCCCAACAAAACAAAAAAAAATTTTTTTTGCAATGTTTAATCAATTTTCTCAATAATCTTTGATATCGATTGATATGCGATTTGAAAATTATCAAAAAAAAAAAAAAAAAAATTAAAAAAATAAACAAAACAAAGCAAAAAAAAATTAGTAGAGCAAATTTATTTTTGGCCCTTTTTTTTGAAAACGAAAATTTTTTTTTGTTCCATTTTACAATATTTGATATATTTGGGCCATCATCATCGATCGATTATAATTAATTAAATATGAAAAAATTCATAATGCAAATGTATATGTAACAAGTTTAACTGAAGTTGTTAATTGCCATTGATTGAATCTTTTTTTTTTTGGTTTCGTCAAAACGATTGAATGATTGACTGATTGATTGATTGATTGATATATAGATTTATTATGAATATAAAAAATATGGGCACAAATTTATTATTTTTTTTCTCTCTGATCATGATGATTGCAATCAATTGAAAATGCAATTTTTATATGTATTCACATATTTCGTACTTTGTATTTTTATGATTATGACGATAATTTCGAATCAAATAACAGATCTATTTCAGTTTTTCAGTTTTTCATATAAAAGTAAACACAAACAAAAATGTCATCAACATATAGCCAAAAAAACTGGTATTTCCTAGTTTACCATGGTTGAATTTTTTCATTTCATTGGAAATTGAAATTGCGTTGAAATTTGTCGTCTTAATTTTTTTTGCCAGAAAATTATTTAATCCAATTGGATTATTTTTTGCTTGATCCAACGGTTTTTTTCCTGTTGTTGTTACACCAATTTGTACATTTGTGCTGTTGTTGTTTTTTTTTTGATCTGATATTTTAAGTTTGAAGATCATCATCATTATAATTATTAATACACGAATGTCTGATAATTGTGTGAATTATTAATCCTTCTGGCGCCATTTTTCGATGACCTTTTTGGTTCTGTTTTTAAAAAGAAAAAAAAACATTTGATGTTCTCAATACCATTAAAAAATCTATTAGTTTTTTCATCTTAATCCAAATTAATCTGGATCACCTCTTTCATCTTTCATTATTTTTTTGTACATGATTTATGTACAAAAAAAAAAAAATAACCCGGTTGTGACAACCAATTAATTTTCACAAAGAACGAAAAAAGGTTATAGTCATAAAATATCCTCATCATTATTACCATCATCTCAATAACGAGACCTGTCTCTCTCTTTCTCTCTCTCTCTCTCTCTCTCTCTCTCTCTCTCTCTCTCTCTCTCTCTCTCTCTCTGTGCATAATATAAATTTATCGGCCATTCATTCAATTGCATTCATAGCTTTGAATTCGGAAATTTTTAAAAAATTTGATTTCCACAAAAAAAAACCACAATATCGTTCATCAGGTGAATCAGTTAAGAAAGAAAAAAACAAGAAAATCCTAATCAACTAAAGCAATGGATAACAAATCATTCAATATGGACGATGAACAAGAACCGCAACGGTTACATTTATCGTTAAATAACCGGTTCATTAAATCAACAAGTGGACAGAGTTTGACTTCTGATTATAATCGTGATGAAGAATTCATTTCATCAATATCAATCAATTCTGAATGTCAACCAATTAACATAAAGCGACATATTTTTTATACTGAAGATTTTTATAGCAAAAGTGTTGAACATAATCAACAACAACATAATGAAAATTATTCATCAATGATTGATAAAAATAATGAATCAAAAAAATCCTGTTGTTCCTTTTTCACAGATTCAATACGTAATGTGTCCAGTTATTTGTTGCCATCTCGTTCACAAACATCACCTAGCCATATTAAATCGAAATCGGTCATTATCACTTGGTTACAGACAATGATACCTATATTACATTGGCTACCTAATTATGATTTCCGTAATCATTTACTTAATGATATTATTGCTGGCTGTACGATACTTGCATTACACATTCCACAAGGTCTTGCCTATGGACGATTAGCCGGTGTTGAACCAATCAATGGTCTATACGTTTCATTATTTCCTGTAATCATATATGCTATCCTTGGTACCGGTCGACAAGTATCGATTGGTACATTCGCCGTCATCAGTATTGCATGTCGTGATGCCATCGAAAGTTTTGATCTACAACAATCCATTGTTCTCAATATACGGGATGTGCAGAACTCATTACCATCATCATCATCATTATCATCATCGACAACCGGATCTACCATTAATCATCTACTGGCGACAACAACGGTAGAGCCATCGCCCATACCAATTGATTTACCTACGCCGATTGAAGTACTGACCACACTTGCATTGTTTGTCGGCATTATACAGGTAAATGCGATCTATTGTATATAATTAAAATTGATTAATGGTGTTATCATACGATTAGTTTGTTCTGGGATTTCTACGACTGGGCATTCTGTCTATAATATTATCTGAGACACTAATTTCAGCATTTGTCACAGCATGTTCATATCATGTATTCACCAGTCAGATATTTGCTTTGATCGATATTGAATCCAAGATCAATGGCGAAGATTTTGAATTACCATTACCATTCGATATTCTTAAGTCATGGTCACGATTCATTATACGTATACCGAAAGCCAATCCGACCACAGTGATCATGTCACTCACCTCTATTGCCATATTGGTTACATGTAAATTTAGCCTTCAACCATTTTTGGTTCGTCGTTTCAAAATAAAAAATCTGGTCATTCCAATCGATATATTGATCATTGTGTTTGCTACATTAATATCTTCATCGATTGATCTGAAAGGCAATTATCATGTGAAAATAATTCCGGCTATACCGAAAGCGTAAGTACAAATAACGTTGTAAGCCACATTAGCGACAGTTTTAAATGTATAATTTTTTTTTTTTGATGATTAATCACAGTTTTCAAGGTTTGCCAAAAATTCCGGATGTTTCATATATTAAAAAATTATGGGCCAGTGCCATATTGATTTCATTGGTATCATTCATATCGACATTTTCATTGGGTAAAACATTTGCCAAAGAACATGGCTACGAAGTATCTGCCAACCAGGAATTAATAGCATTGGGTACAGCCAATATATTTTCATCATTTTTTCTTTGCTATCCATGTTCAGGATCATTAGCACGATCAGCTGTAATGAATCGTGTCGGTACACGTACACAATTGGCCACTATCATATCGTCCACATTGTTGGTATTATTTTTATTATTCTTTTCCAGCTATCTTCGTACATTACCAATGGTAAGAATTGAACCATTACGAATCTAAACATTGTTAATAACAATAATTTTTTTCTGATTTACCATTAATCTAATCAGGCGATATTGTCTTGCATAATTGTAGTTGCCTTATGGGGCAATATGAAAAAAATTGTACTGGCACGTCATTCATGGCATATATCGAAATTGGATGGCATACTATGGAATGTTACATTTTTGCTCGTACTTTTATTTGGTATTGGACATGGATTACTTTATTCGGTTATATTCTCATTGGCCATCCTCATCATTAGGCTTATAATGTAAGTAACAATTCTATTGGTCCATAACCACTGTTTTATATTTTTATTCTTGTTTTCAATTTAGACCGATTATCAAGTTAAAACGTCAAATAAAAGGAACCGAAGTATTTGTGGAAATCAGCCATATATATGATGTTTACGATCCAATTACCGGTCAAAATAAAAATGGTTCCAATAATCACGGTCATCATGATAAATGGGTTGTTTTCGAATTTCAAGGTCCACTTCTTTTTATAAATTCAGTTATGTTTCGACAAAAATTCCATTTATTGATTGGTCGTTATCTATTCAATAAGCGAATTATCGATAATCGTCACGTATCAATCAATCAAAACGAATCAAATCAGAAAAAATCTGGTCTACAAATAGCATTGGATTTGGATGGTTCGCTTGTTCGACCACCGACAATCGATACGATCATATTCGATTGTACTCGATTAACATATATCGATACAAAAGGTGTTGAAACATTGAATGGAATAATCGAAATCATACAGGATCATGGTGCTCGTATGGTATTGGCTTCATGTTCACATTTTGTCTATGAAAATCTTGAAAAGAACAATTTTTTCAAAAATTTCAATGCAAGACATTGTTATATGTCAGTCATGGATGCCATTGCTGATTTGGAACAAAATGATCATACACATCCTAATGGCAATTAAATAAATAAAAGCTTTCCACTGTATTTTCCAATTTCCAAAATCTTTCGAACAATTTTTCCTATGAATTTTTTCATTCAAATTTATAAAATAAAATAAAAACTTTTTTTATTAAATTCCTATTTTTCATTAGCCAACTATTTTGAATAAATTGTATTGTAGCGCCATCATGCGATTCATAGTTATAACATTGGAACACAACCCTTGTTGACTCGAGAACAATATAACAACAACAACAATAATATCTGAATGTGATTATAATAATATTTTTTAGTTTGTTTTTTAATATAAATGGTTAAATTCTGGTATTCATACATTGATTAAAGTAATAATATTAAGTGAACAAACAATAAATAATGCCGGTCAATAAAAGAGGTTGTGCACAAAATTCTAGCAAATCATCAATCTCCAACACCAATGTATCTAACAATAAGGATGCTAATCATAATTCGACTACTAAATCGGCAATATCTCTTCCACCTCCAATCGATATGATCATAATGGATCGTCTTCCAACATTAGCCTGGGATGATGAATTTCTACAGAAACATTTTAAACAACGGGAATCGATCAAACGAACATGGGATCGTTCGAAAAAGTTATCTAAATTGATGGCTTTTTATTCGCATAATATGAATAAGGTTCCAACAAAAAATGAGGTTTTCGATTATCATCAACAATCAGCATCGACGCTACCATTCACCAACAATCACAATTCATCATCTTCGATTCGTCATGGGGGTAAATCAACCAATTCTAACGATGATCGAGCATATGATGAGATGCCGTTCGAAAAACCGGCTAGTTTCAATAAGAATAAAATGAAAGAGGGAAAAGATCTGACTCCTTATCACATTTATGTTTTTCCCACTGCTTACGATGATCTCTTCAATGCTGGTATTCAATTCGGTAAATATTATTATCTTTGATTTCAAAATGTAACCAACAAAATTTATTTAGTGCTCACACCGATCATATTGACACGTGAGAAATATATGATGGGTATGAAACGGCTCAACTCTAGAAGCAATGGTGAAGTGAATGCTTTATTGGATGCATTAATCGATTATGAAATGATATGCCGTCTTTATGAACAAACGGCCAATAATTATTCATGTTCACGAATTACACGGTCAATTCTTTTGATGGCTTTGGAGAAATTTTATTACGCCATCAATTTGGGACAATTTCCACTTCAGAATATTGGTACGATCTCATTGATTAGTACATTGAACAATATTCATCTTTTCGACAAACGTTTATTTATCGAGAAACCATCGGTCAAAGTGGCATTCAATCATTTTCTTCTTCATGCTATGGATAAATTGGGCTATGAAAATGGTCGTATTCAATATTTGCTCAAAATGTTTCGTCGTTTTGTCTATTTTTTTGATCGTTTTAAATTGCCTCTGCCAGAATTTCGTACTGATGGCGATGCCATTATTCAATCAATCGATGATCGAATATATACCATACATTTTGCTCATTGGTTTGCTGCCTGTGTACTACCCACCTATACCAAATGGTTCGTCAATTGTTCTAATAGATACATCATGATTATAATTAACTTATTTTTTTTTACTTTTTTTTCTAGCATAAAATCGTATAAACCGTCCGACATATTTAGTCATAAATTCCTTCGAGATATGTCTCCTGTTCTATTCAAACATTTTCGTCTTGCCATTGGTCGGGTGGATCCACAACTGGAAATTGATGAATTCATCCATATATTTCACGAAATTTTTCTCGATCCAAACATGCCATATTGGGCCATAACTTATTATCAAAATCGATCACCACTAAATCATCTATTGCTAGCCATACAGGGCAAACTAATCAATGCTTATTGTGAACGTAGAACGACCGATAATGGTCAAACACTAGTTACGGGTAATATTTATTCACCAAATGATCTCGGTCGTATGATGCGTTTTCATGAAGCGTTATTGAATCTTCGTCCACTATATGATGAATGTATATGTACTAATCTAGACAATAAGGATGCTAATGAATCGAATTATATCTGTCATTATTGTGATGATAAACGATATGTTTCTTGTCACATACACAATCGTATCAATGAAAGTGGTGATGATATGACCGATGATATTGTTCTTACCAGGCATCCAATACCCGATGATTGGCTACAACGTATTCTATTCAAATTGGATACAAACGAATTGGTCATCTTTCTTTTTCTTACTGATAAATTTGATCCAAGCAAATTCGGTCTACAGCCAAATCGTATGGATTATTATTTCTCTCTTAAAGAAAATTATACTGTACCAGAATGTTTTCGTATGGCAATCAATGATCCACTGTTACGAGGAAAACGTAGCCAGCTTATTCGATTCATTGAACAAGCAAGACCACATAGTCAATTCCATCGAGAAGTTTATCAAGTGTTTAATCGTATGATCAGAAAAGAATTACCAGAATTTGTTGATCGTGCTCAACTCATCAAACGATTGGGCAATGGTTATGGATCAATGTTGCCCACTGAAGTTGATTTTAATCGAATCATGTACACATCATTTATGACTACTATCAACATGAACATGTTAAATTCATCCGTAATGAACCTAGTCGGCCGAACGCCTTGTTTTGATCCGGTTATTGGCCTTGTGCCACACGAAGGAACCGTCCAATTTATCTTATTAAATAATCTATTCATGCGAATTTGGGAAGAACGGTATAAAATGTGGATGATAGAATTGCAAAATGTTTATAGTCATCAGTTGCCACGAATGGGCCGAGATTACATAACCCGCTTGGTGTTCGATCCTCGACATATTACATTGATGCTTATCAAAGATGGATGCAAAGTAATTGGCGGCATTACTTTCCGACCATTTCAGACGCAAAATTTTTCCGAAATTGTATTTTGTGCTGTCAGCTCGAATGAACAGGTCAAAGGATATGGTACTCGTATGATGAACTATCTGAAAGATTACCATCTTTATCAGGAAATCTATTATTTTCTTACTTATGCCGACGAGAATGCTATTGGTTATTTTATGAAACAAGGCTTTACCGAAGATATACAAATGCCTAGAGAACAATACTATGGTTTCATCAAAGAATACGATGGAGCCACCCTTATGGAATGTAAACTTAATGCACGAATATCGTACAACGCCATCAATCAGGTGATGCGAATGCAAGCTAACATTGTACAGCGTCTAATTGAATGTCGACAGCAAAAAAATCACCATTCATTTCGTTATGAATTTCGATCCTATCAAAGCCGTATCATACCGTTTGATTTCATACAAACGATGAATGTGAACAATGTTAAAATCGATGTTGGTAACACTGATTTTACTGATCATAGTGAGCGATTATTTCCCACTCTCAAAATTATTCTACAACAGATTAAATCACATCAATCAGCATGGCCATTCGTGAAACCAGTGGATGAACAGAATGCACCCAATTATTATAAAACAATTCATTTTCCAATGAATCTACAAATGATGATGGAACGATTGAAGAATCGTTATTATTGTAATGTACATCTCTTCAATTGTGATATGACACGTATATTTATTAATTGTCGTAGCTATTATGAAATCGATACTATCGTATATCGTTGTGCCAATATACTTGAACGATATTATCTTAGTAAGATGAAAAAACATAATCTACATGTTGAGACAAATGTCTAAAGTAAAAACAAAAAATGAAGAAAAGATTTTTTCCATTCATATTTCTACTCTAAAAACTTTGATCTCGATAATTAATTGATTATTTTACTATTTCAATTTTTTTTTGAAAATTTTTTTATCTTTCACTTTCATTTTTTCCTATAAATAAAATTCGATTTATTACAATGATGATGATGATGATGACAAGTGTAAGCACAAACATTCATACGAAACATAAAGGCCTTATAAATAATATAATAATAATCTATTGATTATATAAAGCCAATATATTTCGTCGAAAGGCTGGCTTTTGGCTTTTTCGATTGATGATTGATCGATTGTTTTTGTTTGTTTTTGCTCAAGTCTTTAATTTCGAAAGAATTTGATTATCGATGATGATGATGATGATGATGATGATTTTCAATATAAAATTTTTAGTTTTCTTTATACACATGGCTAAATAAAACACTAGGAAATTTATATATATTTAAATAGTTGGGAATTGGAAAAAAAATTGTGATTATGATGATGATTGAATGAAGATGAAATGAATTTATGTTTAAAATGGACAATTGTGTTTTAAGTTATATATTGGTTATATTTTGATATTCAATGAATGGCTACAGAAAAAAAATGGACAAAATGAACAAATACACATCCTAATCATCTACAATCAAAGAAGAATGATGATGATGATGATGATGTTGATGATGGCCATGTTGTTGTTCATGTTGATGTTGATGGAGATGATAGTTTGCATTTGGCGTTGCTATTGTAAATACATCCGTTGGATGATGCCATGTCGATGGTGGATGTGATGAAGATTGTTGTGATTGTTTTGATTCAGATGATGTGGATAATGTATTCTTACCGGTATTCTGTAAACGTGATATCTGATATTTTCGTAGGCTTGATACCGATATTGATGGCTGTGTTTCATGTATTGAATCACTTTCTTCACCATTAGTTGCTAAAGCGTCACTTTTACCATAGTTATGATTATTATTCAATGATCGAAGCAATGTTCGTTCCTCATGATCGGTCATCATAAGATAATCACCATTTCCGGTGGCATCTTTATTACCCAAAAGACTATTATTGTCAACATCCATCAAAAGCATCATGTTATTGTTCATGGTATCATCATCACCATCAATACCATTATCATTATCTTCATGATCATCATCGTTCATCACATCGTTATCATCATCATCATCAATGGTTATCTTTGTAGCTCTTGATGATAATTGTCCAGCTCCACAACCACTATCCAAACTGTCCATTGGTGGTAACATTGATTCTATCTGGTGTGTATTACCGGGTGATGTATTTTGACGGCTATTATCATGATGATGATGTATAGATGATATTCGGTTATTTCTATTCGCTATCGTTGATTGTGATGGACAATGCATCTGTTGTTTTTGTTGTATGGATAATTTACTACTGCCACCACCATCAGGTAATGTACAATAGGGAGTATAAGGTGTGCTCGCAGCTGCTGTAAATGTCGATATACGAGAATCTGTTTGCCTACTCATTGATCGATTCATCGTCATTGTCATTGTTGTTCGATTATTATTATTACCATTGGCTGATGCTGTAAAATTATTGCGAGCCAATGTCGATGATTGGTAATGAGCATGATGACCAGTACCAGCATTAACATCTGATTTAAATGTTCCACAATTCGTGGATGTTGGATTCGTTCCTATATTATCCCCATATTGATTGAAATTGATTAACGATGATTGACGTAGATTTAATAGTGAACGATTCATTGGAGGAGGAGGTGGTGGTGGAATTGGAGGCGAATTTGGATCTCCTATCGGTTCATCAGTGATTGTATTTGCTGGATTTGTTGTTTCCATAAACATTGAATCTGGTTGTTCACTAGTAACGGCAGTAGTAACATGACCAGAATCGGCACTATTCGATACAGATGGCCATCGAACATTTTTTATCATTTGATTATGGTTTCCACCACCTCCAGTTCCAGTAGCACCAGGCGTTGTCGATGATGACGAAACTGTCATTACATCAATCAATCGATGTGGCGTGCCAATACCCATTGTTGTTGCCATATCCGATTGATAATAAGTAGAATAATCGGGGGCCGTTGGATGAGCAAAATAATGTTGACACGTTTTATCTATGATGTGGCCAACATTCTTCTCATCACCGCTTGATCGTCTATACCAATTGATGATTAGTATGATGGTCAAACAGATTATACCGATGGCAAAAAATATAAACATTAACAGTCCGGTCATGCCACCCACTAATTCAACAATGTTGATTTTAACCTCATGAATACAATCACTTTCATCGGAATCATCATCAAAGCCGCAATTCTGTACACCATTACAATGAAGCTTCCCAGATATACAATAACCATGTTTTTGACATTGATATGGCATCGTATTGATGGGAATGTCCAATGATGATGATGATGATGACGATGATGATGATGATAAGGAAGATGTTGATTGTATAAGCTCTTGTTGTTGATTTGTTGATGGATTGCTTATAGCTGTCGATGCCATACAAGGACCAAATGCTGTCATATTCTTTACACGTACATCATTATTATCGGATGGCATATCTATCTCAGTCCAAATAGCTGAAAATCCTAATGCTCCAACAGCTTTTTGTGCGGTTAAAAAGCTATAAAAAAAATGATGGTTATAAAAAAAATGTGTTAATAACAGATAATTGTACTTACGTGATACGCATTACATTATTGTCTGAAATGTATTGTTTATCTCGTAGGTTTAATTTCTCACCACATAATTCAATGGATTTTTGATTCAAATCAGGCCATACACGAACGATGGCACCTGGACATCCACGATTTGGTGGATCACCTTCCACTGAGAATTCATCAAAATATAAAAGAACTTTGGATCCACTTCGAACGGTTATAAACCAATTGCACACTTGCATTGTAGCCGGATAATTATTTGGATAATTTGGTGTCTGAATTATACCGTTTTCGAGATTAGTAAAATTTCCACCACAATCTATTAATGAATTGAAAAACGATTGATTTAAATTTAACAAAACAGATACAGAATCAGATATAAACCTTGTACACGATCGGAAGCTCGATCAAATCGATAGGTAGCGCTAAAACCGCTTGATACTTCATTTTCATCGGTATTCACAATCACTTTTATCTGGCTAACACCGGTTTCGGTTAAAATTGGACCCGGTGCTGTAAAACCACAATAACGTCCATAAAATTGTTCACGACCAGAACCACTTTCTACACTGTAAACTTCAAGCCAATCATGTGTACATTTTTCATTATAACCCGGAATGCTTAATGATGAAACTTCAGCATCACTAAATTTGAATTGATTGAAGACCAATTTGACCTGTTCATCTGGTTCACCGAAAAATTCAAATATACAATACGTATTCGATGGATAATTGGATGGATGTCTTGGTGAATTAAATTCACCGGATTTACTACCACTGCTCACATATGAAAAATGACATTGGCCAGGTGATGCTTGTGTTCCCATTATCTTAAAATCCGTTTCAAACCAATAATGTGCTTTGAAACCTTGACCTTGTGTTGAACCAGAATTGAATACCACTAATAATAATGGACCATCAGATACGACTGGTGGTGGTATTGTTTCACCACAGAAAACATAATCAAATTCATCCATTGCTTGTAGCTGTGTATATAGACGAACATAGGCATCAGTACATCTAATAATAACAAAAATGTGAACCAAATCAACAATATATTAATGATGAAAAGAAAAACATAAACACAAAACATACTCATTAACATCTTTAGTAGGTATCTGTAACATTTCGAAATGAAAATTAATACGTTCTAAATTTTGAGCATCTTGTAATCCGTATAGAAAATATTTGCACATTATATTTGAATGATAAAGAAATGGATAATTTGGTGCATAAATTGTTCCATTGGATTCTTTACGGCTGAATATTTTCTGATCACATTCAGTACCACGAATATGTTCACTATTTTCATTGTTCAAAATGAATCCTAGAATTTTCCAAAAATAGAATTTTTTTTTGTTAAAAAAAAAAGAAAAAATTAAGATACAAAAAAAAAGAAATTTGAAACATGAAAAATAAAATCAAAATCAATAACAATAGAGAGAGAGAGAGAGAGAATGAGTGAAAGATGACAGACATGCTAAATCTAAATCAGCTAGAATTTTTCATCATCATCATCATTAATGATCACTAAAATCATTGTTCATGACTTCAGAGACATACACAACATACAGAAGTCAAGTCATAAATCAAATTATTATTATTTTTTTTTGCTATTCGAATCGCATGAATGGCTAAAGTTCCGTTCACACAAACACACACACACACAGAACATACACATGTTCCATTCGTCATGAAACAAATCATAAATCACTTTGGCGAAAGGAGTATAAAGTTTGGAGACAATGGAAATTGTGTATGTGCAGTGCCTTCATAATTGATAATGGATGTAATGTATAATAATAATGATCATAAATACAAACGAAACACACACACACATATATAATAAAATGAACAAATGAACATAAAACATAAACCGGATATGAACACTCACCAAGATTGACAAATTTTTCGGAAAATTCATAATAACCGGAAAAACCACGATTCTGATTTACTGATGATATTCGTTTGAGAGTTGTAAATTGGACCAATAAATTGATACCAGATGAGAATACGAATAATTGTCGTTGTTGGCCACAATAAGTATTGATCAATGGTGCTCGTGTTGTTTCACCATCATAGATTTTCACATAATCATAGGGACAACTTTTTTTTCGGTTTTTTTTTAATTAATTCGATCAAATGATTTTAATTTTAATAAAAAAATAAATTATTAGCACTTACTGTGATCCACCATAGAATAGATCGAAATCCATGAATTCCAATTTTACTCGTTGTCCTTTAACACCTTTAAAAAGATAATAACAGGTAATATTTTTTGGATATACGCCCGGATATGTTGGACTCATAAATTCGCCTTCACGACGAACTTCACTATAGATTGTGTAGCTACAGATTTCATTTGGCATAGGAGTTCCGGCCACATATGGTGCTATGAATGCAATGAAAATTTATCAATTTATCATTTAGATGTTTATATTATCATCATCATCATTTTTATTTTCAACTTACTGGCATTGACAAACTCATAGGTACCTTCGAATATATCGCTACCATTAAGTATGGTACCGTCCATTAATTTAGCAGTATAGAAACTGATCACAATTGTTTGAAATAATGAGATGCGATCATGTGGTATGACTAGATCACAGTAACGACCACCAAATGGTGTGCTCAATAGATCTGAATCAGGATTCTTCAATTCAGCATAAACATCAACATATTCATCTAGACATCTAGAGATCATCATCATCATCATCACCATCACCATTATCAATTATTTGAATCATAGAATGTTATATTGAAAAATATGAAAAAAAAGAAAGGAAAAAAACGATACTCACTCTGGTAATTCTGAACGAAGACTGAATTTAGTGAATGAAACTCGTACACGTTCATAAGGTCCAGCAATAAATGTATAGATACATTGTCTCGTATAACGATTTGATTCATTATTACTACCTAACAATGGATTTACTGATGACGATTGATCACCAACACTGTCATTGATTGATGAAATAATGCTTGAAACAGTTGTCGCAGGCATCGGTATCATAAATGATGGTCCAACAAATGTCCCATTTCGTGTTCCATGTGTTATATTGAGCGTCGTACTAATGAATACTTGATCACAATCTTTACATGAAAAACAAAAAAAAAATATAATTAAATCGAAAACATAAAGTGTATAAACAATATATACCAGTAGATGATGAAAATGTAGTTGAATGTACAATATCATAATGATGGGATGGTAAAAAAAATTGATTATCATCCATTGATGATGATGGTGATGCGTATGCAAATGACAATAGACATATAACCATCACTTGATAAAACATGAAAGCTGCTGCCAATAATGATTTCATATTCAAAGATGATGATTTAGATTGGGATTTAGATTTCATCGTTATTGATTGTATCATTAACCCATTAATAGTTGTCGTCATTTTTGTTGTTATTATTATTGTTGTTGTCATATTCACAATGTATGTAATGCTTATTGATGATGAATTTTTCTATTATTGTTATAGATTTTATTTACATCAATAAACTTGATGGGCGTTGCCAACGAAATTTTATCATTCAATTTAACATTAAAGGCCATTCCATTTATTGATGATGTTGATGAAGATGATGATCATGATCTGAATATAATCGACATAGAATTATTCATGACTTTCACACAGGCCATAATGTGTAACGATCCTTAGCTGCTTTTTTTTTCTTTTTGGTTGATATTCACTTCATTCATCTGTGAATATTTTTTTTCTTCATTTTGATTTGATTGAATTTGTTTTGCTTGACTGAAAATTCTGCATAATAATCTTTGTTTTTACATTGGTAAATCAAATCCAGAAACAAAATCTATTGGTAATATAAAAAAATTTTTGGAAAAAGAAATTAGGAACCCAAAAAAAACGTGATATAGCCACAAATGAATAAATGATATAGACCTTTAGTGATAAAAAAAAGAAAGAAAAAACCTCGTCGATCATGTGGCTTCGTTGGCCATAGGCCATAATCTTTTTTTTTTGATTATCTTTCCTTTTTTTAAATTCACTGGGAGGTTATATTTGTGAATCAATCTTGTGTGTGTGTGTGTGTGATAATTGATTTCCTTATTTTTTGTCACTATATATACAATTTTTGTTTTTGAGACAATAATTTTTTTTCCCCATTATCCTCATGATGATGATGATGAGCTTATGCTTTGAAGGTCCTATGATGATGATGATGAAAGATTAGATTTGGCATTCGGAAATAGCAAAAGAAAAAAAAAATTTCACTAGAATACCATTTTCAATAAAACAAAAAACAAAAAAAAAATAAATAAGACGATTATAAATGACTAAATAGCTCAAAATGAATGGATGGATGGATGGATGAAATTGAATGATTCCAATATATCGAGAAAAAAAATTGAAGCAAGAAGCAAAAAAAAGTCATGCTTTTTTCATTTTATACACACACACACACACACACACAATTCCATGACATTAAACTTTATTCAATATATCAGGATGGAGAAAAAAAACTTTTAATTAAAAACTATAACATAGTAGTAGTTTTGTGGAACTACAGAAATAGAAATAGTCTGATGGTGGTTGACAAAAAAAAATCATCTCGAGAAAACGCCCATAATCATAATATATTATATCTTACTTTCTTGATTTCTCTCTCTCTCTCCCACTTTTCGATATATTCTTCGAGATATATTCTTCGAAATTCTATTCACTTAATATATTTAATAAATGTAATTCTGTTGTTCCATTATTTGACAGTATTCAAGTGGAAATAAAAGGTCAGAAAAATATTAGTTATTGTTGGAATGATTTTTTTTGGAGCAAAATAGCCACTAAATGAAATTGAGCTAAACACACCAACCACCATACTTATGGTTCGAATAACAATACTCGAACTTGATGAAAATAGCCTGGATAACAATATCAAATGGTATCAAGAAAAAAATTTGAGCTGTTTTCCATCCAAACAAACTATGACATGACCATATATTATAAATATATTCAATGCTTTATGTTTTGCTGTTTTAAAAATAGCAAAAAATTTATAATCAAATTTCCGTTTGTTTGCCCGTTTTGTCTGTTTGATATAATAATAATAATAATATATGATGGATAACCACTGAAATTCTCTATAAAGCCGAATGAGCGAGAGAGAGAAAAAATCTAATTCATTTGCAGGATGTTTGCACAAACACATTATATACACCGTGTTCAAAACCAGATACCTTTGTATTTACATATATATATAGTGATCCATTAGAATTTTTAATGAACGATAGTCGGTGTTTTTTTTTTCATTTGTCCAAATTATTCCTTCACAGGTCAGCTAATTCATTTTGAATTCGGGTCGGAATAAACAAAAAACAAAAACAAAAAAAGAATTTTTTTTCACCATTATCAATTCGTTGTGTAACACGGTAACAAATAAACAAACAATCAACAAAAAAAAAGACAGGAAGTAAGAATTTTTTCCCCTCCATAGAGTTTCATTTCCTTTTTTTCCGCCTCATGTCTTTCTTTCATTCATTCTGTATTAATCATAACAAAAAAAAATGTAATCGATCCTATTCTTAGTGATCAATAAAAAGAATAAGAATTGTTTGTCATAAGCAAACAAAAAACAAATAGAAAACAACGACGACGACGACCACCACCACCACCACCACAGGCTTTTCTCGGTTCAATAAATTCCCAATTGGGAGATTTTCTTCTCTCAATTTTATTGTTTATTCTTGGAATTGTTTTTGTACACCTCTACATAAAAAGCAATGAGGTAGGAGAACCAAAAAAAAACCAAACGAATTTTTATTTTCATTCTGAGTCTACAATGAGATGATTACGACGATGATGATGATGATGGAGATGATTTCATCGTAGTGTATATGATGGTCGATCTGGGAATGTTTTTTTGTTTTTTTTTTGGTTGCTGAAAAAAAGCTCCAAAAGGATTAGTATTGCTAAATCTAACTACATTTTATTATGCTGTCATTTTGTTTTTCGTTGTTGTTGTTATTTTGATGGCAATCAAACTGAATTTTATTTTATTTTATTTTTTTTTTTTGTATGACTTTACAGAAAACAAACATATTTTTCTTATCGTTTTCATTTTCAGTGTGTGTGTGTATATATAGAAAAGAGAAAAAACAAAACAAAAAAATATTGTTCGACAAATTGTACATTGTATATTCGATGTATACACCTATGATGATTTATTATATCCGGACTTGTAATATACTTAATCCTGTCATTCGCACATACACACACACACACACACATACACAGGCAACAACAACAACAACAGAATGAACAAAACAAATTATTATTATATAATAGTAGTAAAACTAAAGGTTAGACACAAGCAAGTGGTTTATAAACTTGGCTCAATGGAACCAAACAGTGTGGGTGGCCGAATGCTGGAAGTAAGATGCCCAAGGCATTAAAAAAAAATATGACCCTGCTTGCAACAAGCTTTTATCAAACAATTTTATTAGATTTATTTAGAAAATGATGATTTTTTAAAAATAAAATCATAACTTTTGGTCATTATTATTATGGATCATCATAATGATGAGAGACCAAGTTGCAAAAAAAAATTTTTGATAATAACACAATATACAATTGAATGAAATAATTAATAACAAAAATATATAAATAAAAAATGTAGTCAATTGTTAATGGCACATTTCTTTTTTTTTTTTGGTCATTATCATCATCAGTGTTTATTAGGTGTAGATGGAAATATCAATGTATGTATTTCATTTCATTTCATTCAAGTTATCACCATCATTGTGTTATGAGTAATTGTCATCATCATCATCATAATCATCAATGAACATTGCATTTTGTAACATTGTCAAATTCATTCACTGATGATCATTAACAACAACAACAACAAAAAAAAAACAAAACAAAAAGAATGCCAATAACATCATTATCATTAGGAATCAATAGCAATAACGATGATGATCATCATCATCATTATGATGACAATCAAACATTGCAAATATTATAAATGTTGTAATATATCTAACAACTATTAACTATCTAAAATCATAAATGAAGAAAAATTATTATTAGTGGAATGTAGAATATTTTTTTATTCTGTTTTCTATCACACAATTTCAGAACGAACGAACCAAACAAACAAACGAACAGATAAACAAGTTTTATTCATTTATTTATTTGATGATTGAATTGTATTTATTCAAAAAAATTTAAACAGAGGATGATATGGAAAAACTTACCAAATACGAATAAAAATCAACTGGATGATGAATCGAATTTTTTGTGAAATTGACAGCAGCAGCAGCAGCAGCAGCAGCAGTGACAAAAACAAAAATAAAAATGCAAGCAATGAAAAATATTTTGTCACATCATTATTTTTCACGGGTTAAAAAGTTTTCTTCTTTTTTTTGTTATCATTAGAGAAGAGAAAAAAAACTTCATTCATTATCGCACACATACACACAAAAAAAACACTACAACTTGAAAATTTTCATTTTTTTGACTAATGAGCTAAATGGAAAATCAAAAAAAAAAAAAAAACAAAACAAAAAAAACAAAAAACACAATTGTTGTGATGAATTAATCAATCAATCAATATGAACGATGAAACAGATACAAATCAAATTGATGAATTATTATTGAAATGTGAATCAATCAAAAAAAAAAAAAATAATCCCATATGTATAGCTATGGTTAATTAGACCATCACACACACATGAAGCACAATGTTTTAATTTAATATATATTCTTTAATCAAAATGTAGAATATTAAAAGAAAAAAAATCAAATCCATTTCGATTAATGTCCACTTTTTAAATGAGAATCAAAACTAATCACATGTCCAATTCTATGTGTTGTGTGTGTGTGTGTGTGATCATTATTGCATGCGAATGTAGAATGCAGAATTCCATATGAAGGCAATGAACAAAAAAAAAATAAAAGCTTTTAGCATGTGTATGTTTCTTGTTCTGTTTCATTCTTTTGGAATTCAAGTAACAAGACAATTTTTTGAGACACGATCGTATACTCATGCACACACACACACACACAAAAAAAAAGAATAACAACAAAAATTGGATGCTACTATTTGGCCATGGATCGAGATAACAGTAGTCAACATTATCCATTGAAAAAGAATAGACCATTGAGAATGGCTGTTGGGATATTTTTTTTATTTTTATTTTTGCTACTGCTATACAATTTTCTATAGTTTCCAAACATGCATTTTTTGTATTTTTTTATCCATCCAAATACATCCATAGCATCCAAAGAATATTCCATGCGTATTGAGCATTGAATCATGCACACACACACACACATACACACAAACTTGAGATTCAAGCATTTCCTTTCAATTCTGTATATTTGTTTATTTGTATGCATATATGACATGCCTGCCTGCCTGCCTGCCATTGCTGCTGTCATAGCATCTTGTGCGTTTGTGTATTTTTTTTTTTTTTTTTTTTATTCAGGCAAACAGGCAAACGAAAGCTGATACGATACTTGGATTCATTTTCATTTTGTTATGAGAGAGAGAGAAAAAAAAGAGAGATGAAGAAAAGTTTACAACATGCCAACACATAGAGTTTACTTGTGCGTGTGTGTGTGTGTGTATGTGTCCCACATCATATAATGATGCTTCGGATGCTTATTCCTGAAACTACATCATCGTTTAAATTCATCACAACCCCACATATATATTTCCTTTTCCATCCAGTGACTACAATATATTCCTTATTCGTTTGTATATATGGAACAAATAATAATAATAATAATAATGATGTGCGACAATTCTATTGAATTGTTAAAGCCCAAAAAAAAAGAATTTCCAAAAAGGATATGTGTTGCCTCTGTTATATACAATATATTCGAGCATTTTTTTTTTTTTTTTTTGTTTAATTGAATAAATGAATATAAAAAAAAACAAGTGACTAACACACCCCCTCATCATATGCTTCCAGTTGGAATGGGGGAAAAAAAATACCATGGTCATTATAAATGGCGCATGTGATAATCGTTATTGGTAGTGTCACATCAATTTTCATAATAATAATAATGATGATGATGATGATAATAATGATGATGATGATGATAATCTTGATTGTAAACAATTTTGAAAAATCTGAATATCTGTGTAAGAGAGAGAGAGAGAGAGAGAGAGAGACCTTGAACATTTTAATGATGATAATGATGATGATTATATATTATATCAATTGGAATTGATAAAATTTGCATGAATTTTAAAAATTTGATTCCATAAAGATACATTTATATAATATTTTCAAATTTGAATGGCTAAAATGGCCTGGTTTCAAAATAAATTCTGATTTGATTTTGTTTTTCAAATGAATCAATATAACGATCTATCTCTATCTTTATCTCTATCTCTCTCTCTCTCGCTCATCATTATGATGATGGTGATTATTATGACTGACTAACTATAACTGAAATTGACTGGGCCTCTATTGAACGCATAATTTCAATTCAATTTAGAACCAAATCACTATTAACCCTTTTCATTGTACACTTTTATTCATTCATCCATCATTCATTCATTCAATCTTATTTGCAATCTTATTTTTGTTTAGTGAAACGAAATCGAGCTGAAAAAAAATTCAATTTTATTTTTATTTTCTTATTTTTTTTTAATAAGTTTACAATTTCGGAAACAAAAAAAAAACAGAAGAAGAGAATTTAAAATGAATGTAAAATTAATAATCTTGAATGGCAAAGATTTACGATTGAATGAACATTACTGGCTGGTTATTGGACACCACCACCATTACCGACACCACACATTATTATTGCACGATAAAATCAGAATTTTCTCCCTCTCTCTCTCTCTCTCTCTCTCTCTCTTTTTGCTCATAACAAAATAAAATTCTGTGCACGCACTTCCACACCAACTGTAGGATTCTATAATCTGGGCAATATGTTCAGCTTGACTGATTCTAGCACGCACATACATTTTCTGGTTTTCATTTTTTCGCTATGTAATACACACAATCCAAATAGGATAATAAGAGTCAATAATGGAAAAAAGTGAAAAAGCCAGATTTTTTTTTCTCGCTTCTTTCATAAGCTGCTACCGACCGACCTACCAAACAACCAACCAACCAAACCCTAAATCATTGATTAGATGATTTTTTTTTGAGGCAATTTTCTTTATGGTGTTCCAACAACCCAAATCAGGCCCACACAAACACACACACACATAGGACATACACATAGCGCCACTAGCAGATAAGTTTACCACCATATAATAATGCGACATCATTGATGATGATGATGATGATGATGATATGTATTTCCACATTCTTGTTCATTTCAAATTTTAGCAAAAAAAAAAATTTTTTTTACTTCATTCGTTCCATCTATTCTTTTGGATTTTTTCTGTTTTTTTTTTTGTTGATTATCCCAAAAGTTAATGTTGTGCAGTACAGGATACAACATTAACAAGGATAAAACTTTCAATGATGGTCTGCCATTGTTTTTTTTTTTTTTGTTTTGTTTTGTTTTATGTGTCTTTATATTTATTTTTCTTGTTGATTGGTTAGTGTGTGTGTGTGTGTATGTCTGTCTATGTTTGTTTGACCAAATTGGTAAACTTTTTTTTCCCATTTATTTATCTCATGTATTTATATTTGAATTGAGATGCCGATATACCATGGGGCCGATCATCACACACACACACACACACAACATAACGATGAATGTTTGTGATCTATCTATCGGCAACATGAAAAAAAAAATTTTTTCAATTCAAAGGCCTAATATAGATTGTCTGCACGGAGTTTGTTAGAATGTCCATCATTTTTGTGCGTTCGTGTGTGTGTGTGTGTGTGTCAATCGTTTGGCCGCTAATCGGGTCCCGAGAATTTCAATTCAAAAAAAAAAAAAATAGATTCAACACACAAACATACAAAGCAGCCACATCAGCATAGTTGGTTTTTTTTTTGGTAACAAACAATTGTTTCATAGAATAAAAAATACTATTCTAGCTACATTTTTTTTTTTAATGAAGGTAGCAATTTTCAACTATTTGGAAAGAAAAGAAAGATCTTTTTAGTTGGTTTTTTCTGCCATGATGATGATGATGATGATCACATTGAATTTGCAAATAATAATCGGGTGTACACACACAGACACACATAGGAATGTATGTAACAGGAACAAAACAAACAAAACGCAGAACAAACTGCAGCCTGTCTAAGCATACAGTGTTTTTTTTACATCATCAACTAAATCCATTCGTTGGAAAGAAATTTTCTTCACAATGAAACATACAATGGAAATAAAAAGACCGTTCCAATCATGCACATGATTGACATACATACATCCATGGTAAACACAAGAATTCAATCCACCATCAAACTTAACAAAAATAATTCAAAAATGAAGACAAACAAACACACACACACACACACAGAGAGAGATGACAGATGAATATATAAGATCTGATCGACAAGCGAAGAAAAAAAAGTCCATAATATCAGGCAGCAATGTATAAAACATCCATCCATCCATCCATCCACTTCAAAGAAAATATCGATGATGAAAAGATGAAGATTTTATTTTTGCATTCATTCCCAAGCATGCAAAATAAAACTATATATCCAAATCAAACAGGAAAAACATGAGATCAATATGATGATGATGATGATGACAAAATTCTTTTCTTTTCTTTTGTTTATTCACAAATAAGTTTTTTTCAAATGATAAAAATTTGAATGAAATTATCAACAAACAAAAAAAAATAACAATTTTGTCTTGTTGTTTTCGATTATTTTGGAATTTGTTTTCATTCCAAAAAAAAAATTATTTATACTGTTAACATTATATAACCTACAAAGTTTCAATATGTTGATTGAACAAACAAAAAAAAAAAAAATATCTATCTCATCGATATCTCACCGGTATATGTGTCAATGTGTGTGTGTGTGTGTGTGTGTGTGTGTGTGTGTGTGTGTAGTTCCGATTGAATTAATAAAATTTGGTTTTGATTTTCTATTTTCATGATACTCAATACAATTTCTTTCTTTTTTTTTGACTGTTGTCATGTTGAATTCATGCTGCTGTTTGCAACTTGATTCTATATATAATCATATTACGAAAAAAAAGGACAAACTCTTCTACAACTTTTTTTTTCTATACGTATATTCTGTTCACGATTGACAACGATGTAACCGAATGAATGAATGAATGAATGGAAAAAAAACTAAATTAAATCGAATCGAATTAAATTAAATTTCCTTCCGTCCGCTCTGTGTGTGTGTG